GCACCAAAGTGGATGGAAATAACGGCAGGGCCAGATTGCAATACTTGCAGTGAACAAAGGTATAAAGGTTGAAAACTGAAGTGATATGAAAATCTAATTAAAGACACTTAAAACAACTCTATTAAGTTAAGGGAAAGTTGACGTCAAAGAAAGAAACATTACCAGGCACACAGAGGTTGTCACATAATGATAGCAGCACTAATGCACTGGGGAGCCACCTAGAAGTTCTGTATCTGTGTGCGTCTAATAACAGAGCTTCTTCTTGCAGAGAGCAAAAAACCAACACGACTAGAAAGAGAAAAGACAAGTTAGCAATGATAGATGGAGACTGCGACACTCTTTTAAATAGTTTATGGAATGAAGAGAAAATTAGTAGAGATGTCAAAGACTCAATGCACATTAACAACCAATTTCACGTACTGATGTTTATAGAACACCCTACACAACAACTGCAGAATTCACATTCTTTATACACACGCACGGAAAATCACCCAGAGGGACCAGATTCTAGGGCAGAAAACAAGTTTGAGCAATTTTAAGAGACTGTAATTGTAAGGATATACTCTTTAATTTCTATAGAACTGGACTACAAATTGATCACAGCAAAAAAATTAGAAAATACTTCAATAGTTAATAATATAAATACAGCAATTACAATTGTAATACTTGATAACAAAACAATTACTATTGAGTTTTTAAAAATTACTGCCAAATTTACCTAATATTTTGATTGAAATAAAAATTTAAATATATCAGTGTACAGTGGATTGAACTAGAACAATAGGTAGATAAAGTCTACCTATTGGTTTATTGGAAAATAAGAGCATCTCGTATTAGTAACATAGGTTTACATAACAATAAAATAAATAGAACGAATAACGTAGAAGACTCAAAGAAGGAAACACGTAAGAAGATAGAAGTCAGTGAAATAGGGAAAGAGAAACAGAGTATGACACGTCACTAAAAGTACTCCAGGCAGATTATGAAAGAAGAAAGATCCGAATAATCGGTATGAAGAATGACAGAAGAGCATCAGTAAACCAAAAGGATAATAGAGGATATAACTGAATTTCCATGCTCACAACTTTAGTGTCTTAAATGAATGGAAAACTTTCTTAAAAGACACAAATTACCTAAGTTTATTAAAGAAAACGAGATACTCTGGACAGCCCCCTACTACTTAAGATAATTAATCTGTACTTAGAAGACCCTCCACAAAACTCCTTTCCTTGTGAATTCTTCTAAACATTTGAAAAACAAATAACAGTTCTAAAAGAGAAAAGAGTAGAGATCCCTCTAATATGGTGCAGGGGACCCACATTACTCTGATTCTAAAATCAGAAATAGGAACAGTACCTCATAAAATTGCTTTATTATTAATGACAGAGGCAAAAACAATCCTTAACATAATAAAAGTAAGAAATCTAGTAATGAATAAAAGCAATAATACATGACCAAGTGTGATGTATCTTTGCATTATAAGATGATTTTAACATTTAAAAATCAAATAATATAAGACTCTATATAATCAAATTTGAAAGAACAAGAAACCCAGAATTATCCAAATAATATGGGAAAAAAATAAAAATCTCCATCCACTCATGATAAAAACTATTTTCACATAAACACTAATGGATATTTTATCACTGTTGTTCATTGAGTTGTGTAGTGTGTGCTTAGTTTAGAATCTACATGATGTAATCCCCACACTCCCTCAAAAGAACAGTGAATGTTTAAATTTTAAAAAAAAATATTTCACGAAAAGACATATTCTCCAACACTAAACTCCACATTCTTTCCTTGATACTTTGCTGTATACTAACTGGTAGCAAATGAGCCTTGCATCCAAAATGTATGTAAGTTAGACAAATAAAAGCAATAACACAATTGTCCTCTGGGTCCACATAGCCCACAGCTGACCTTGGTTCTTCAGACAGCCCCGGTTGGGAGAGAATGGAGCCAGCACTACCTGCACAGCTATTTGGACTGGCAGTGCCAGCTCTTCCCCATCAAAAGAACTTCTCTGAATAACACATAAAGTCAACATTGGCTGCCTCCCAGAGACAATTAATCATAATACCAAGAATTAGAAAGGTCTTACACAGATTTTAGGAATATTGCATTCCTTTACCTTAACATCCCCATTCTACCTGCTGGCTTTCATCACAAAAAATCCAGACATCTTACCAAAAAAAAAAAAAAATATTAGTGCTACACTCTTTATGTATTTTAATCAAAGTCATTGATCTTTGTGATACCAGCCCTGCAAGGGGAAAACAAAACAAAACAAAACAAAAAACAAAACAAACAACAACAACAAAAAAACCCCTCCTTTTTTGTGTTGAAAGCACTCCACTCTATCACTACTATGAGACCCATTCCTGTTCCTAAAAATGTTGGCAGTAAAATCAGGGGAACCCAGTGCAGTTACATGGAACAAACATGGTGGATGAGAATGAGCAGAAGAGACTGCTTAGGTTGATGATCTTTATTCACAGTCTTACTCTCCAGGGTTGGTGTTTGTTTGTGCTTTGGTGTTACAGACAGGTCCTCATCCACCCCTACCCCAGGGCTTGCCTAGCTAAATATGCCCTCCACACTAAGGCACTCACCTACGCTTCTAAAATCTTAGTAAATGCACATTACTTGAGCTAAATTGTTTATATGTGTTAGTCACTGCCGTAATGTGCTGTATCTTTACTGGCCTCACTTTAGCCTTTCAGATATGGGTCAGTCTTCTTAGGAAAACTATATGCTAGGTTTTTCTATAGAACAATAGGTTGTGATTTTGGAATTTCTTGCAACTTGAAAGTTCTTGCAAGCGATTGTCAGTGTTTCTGTGCTCTTTCGCTGCATTTCAAGTGATGAAACCTTTACATTTTCTTTGCCAGTGTACTGCCTTGTTTCTCAGAGTCTTTAAATTTTCATAGTGGGTCAGAGCTCTAAGTGATCTTTATTATCAAAGAAATATGTTAACAAATATGTGAAATATTTATTATCCTTTTTATTATCCATCTGGCTTTATCACATTTGTGTGAGACTTGAGTTATTAAAATAAATATGGGTAATAGTATCATAACTTTAGGGACATAAGTTTCCCTAAAGTTAGAGAAAACAATGACAATATCACACTCCTCACAGTGCACAAGGAAGCAGAGATGAGAGATTTCTGTTGTCCACCATCCTGTCTTTAAGAGTAGAGGAGAACTGAACAGTCCAGAGGTTCCCAGATACACACCTCCGACATCTCAGGCTTCCCTCATGACAGCAGGGTGTGTGATTTTGAAATGCTGTCTGTACAAAGTGTGGTCACGCCTTCTTGATCTCCGAGATAGAACGGGAAAATGAAACCCAGTCTGGAAAAGGCTATCGTGTCTCTGTGCCCTGCCGTGGTTGCCCTCTCTTCACACTTAGTCGGGTTTTGTGTTTCTGAAGCTGGTGCCAAATCACTTTATTATTTAATTGGCTTGTTATTAAGCAAAATTTCTTGCCAGAGCTATGCTGGTCCTTTGACCTATTTCCAGTGGTTGGTTCTTTTCTCTTGATAATATGCTATGATAAAAAGTATATGGAGTTTGAACAGCTGGGCTCCAGTCCCAGATCTAATTTTAGTACTCTGACTTCACATAACTTATTAAACCTCTGAGTGTTCATTCCCTTCTATTTATATGAGGCTGATAATTCATACTCTGTAGGGTATTTTGTGATAGTGAAACAAAACCATGTAAATTAAAGGATTTGGGACATAATGGGTCACAATGGCTGCTCAATGCACATTTGTTCTCTTGTCACTCGTAATCCTGGAACCATATATGTTACACACTCAAAGGTCAATGAAAAATGATTTCATTAATGTGCTTTACACCGAGATGTGGGCAAGACTAAGACATAAAAAGTCGATGGTTGAAAGACAGAGGAGCAGCAGCCTAGGCCTGCATAGAGGATTCATGTTACTGAAAGAGGGAGAGATGCAGGCCTGCAGGAAAAGCTGCTGGATAGGATCTGTGACCATCAGCAGAAGAAACCACCAACTGCCATAACCCTCCCTCCCGGGACACAGAAAAGGTAGATGGAGGGAGAAAGAATGCTCCAGCTGTGTGCCTTCATGCCCACTGCTGTCCTGCTGGGGTCATTCAGTGACTGAGCCCAGTAGGAGACACAGAGTGTGGGAGCTCAAACAGTGAGGTCCTCAGCCACCCCTACCCCAGCCACCTGACTTCAAGGGTGAAGCAGGCTGCTCCTGGAGCAAGTGGAGAACACTGCTCTTCTCTCCAGCTTCCATTGCTGTTACCCCTGTGTTCTCTTTACCTGCCCTGATCCCTTTTCTCACTGTTGGGTATCAGCTGAGGGCACCATCTGGGAATCAAGGGCACTTTGTGTGATTTCAGCATTTCCTCCACAATCCCTCACAAAACCAGCTGTGTAAGGGGAACAGAAACCTACCCCAGAATCCCTTGGGCATGCACAGGAGCAGATACATGTGCTCTTCATAGTTCTGTAGAAAATAAACAACAACCAATCTTTGCCTATTGAGCTGTTTTTCTGAGAAAATGACTGATGTCTAAGTGTTACTGCTAAAATGCAGTTTGAGTAGTCATCGTACCCCTGCTGCACAGCCTGATACACCCATGGCCACTTACATATATAAATGACAGAGTCCCTCAGTGCCTGGGTCCTGGGTTGCTCTGGTGACCACTGTCCCCTATGCTTTCCCCTCCAGAACCTGCAGTCTCATCTCATCTCAGCCTCAATGACTGGACTCCTGCCTCTTCTCTCAGGCTTCCTCTGGGAATTGCTGCCTGTGAGTGACTGAATGAATTTTGAATGAACAATCAGTCTTTATGTTTTGCCTCTCTGTTAGACTAATAAATATGATAATCCACCTTCCCATGCTTGGGATATCTGATCACCCTTTCTAAGAGCACTGAAGCCTCTGGCTCTGAACTCAGAACAGGTCCCTGTCCAGCCACCTGCCAAGGCTTCTGTCCCTGAGCTGCAGTGGAGTGTGCTGCTCACTGGATGAAACCCTTCCAGCTTCCAGCATCTGCACTGACTGATGTCAGTTGCCTTTCTATGGACAGACTCACGCATACTGCATCATCTGAATTCCTCACTGTTCAGATGGGTAAATCCAGATGGGAGAGGTGCTTGCATGGAAATTTCCTGAAGCACTATTATGTCTGCTGCCTGTCATCACAACTCTTTTCTGCCTCTCAATATTACCTGACAAAAAATTAAAAGAAAATCAGCACAGGGGATCAAAATTAACAGGTGATTAAATGAGAAATCTGGAGTTTAGAAGAGTTCAAAAATAAATATTTTTTCAAGACAGTTCCTAAGAAAGGTAAGAACCAGAAATTTTAATAAAAGAGTCAATAATAAGAAAGGCAGCTTGCAGAGAAGAGAAAAAGCTCCTTTGCTCACCCAGATTCAAGGATTTTCTCTCCCGGCTCATTGGTTTGCTGACAATGAGAAGAGAATAGAGTAGCAAAGGAAAAGCATCCACTGTCATAATGCAGAAATGGACGCACCTTGTTATTTAAACCAGCACAGGCCATGGATAAGTGGTATCTGGACAGCAGACCCTGACCACAGCAGGCCATGGTGCTGTGGCCTCCATTCTGCACCTTCCCAAAATGGTGTGCTGCTGTGTTCTGCATGTAAAAAGGGACACATGTGCACCTATAATAAGATCAAGGCTCTTCTGTTCCAACCCTGGAAGCTGTCAACACATGCCCCCGTGTCAGGAAGAATGTGCATTCCTGCCCATCCATGAGTTACCCGCTGCAAGGAAACCACCAGCCTAGAGCTCAGTCTTTGTTATGCATCGGCAAAGGTTTGATCTGGGAAGCAGAAAACTGGGAGTTACAGGGATGAAGGCATTTATCTTTGGGATTACAGTTACTCTGTGGGGTACAAAAAAGAAGCCCGCTGCACCTGGCCTGGCGGTGGCTCTGAGGTCTCTGCAGTGCAGCACAGTTGGCCGCAGGAAGAAAACGTGAACCTGGAGCAAAAGAGCGTGGGGTCAAACTGGATTCCAAAGGACAGAATAATATCCCTTCCTGGTGCATGGAGTTTTACAGAGCCTGGTGCCTTCACCCGTGAGCCGCACACATGTCTGGCCTGGAACTTGGAGAAGCTAAAGGAGCTGGGAAAGGCAAGGCTATGCGACAAGGAGGGGAGGAGCAGATCAGGTTCAAGGTAGGAGTTTCAGGGGGGCCTGTCATCCTCTGGGCCACAATTGCTGCTTTTCATCTAAATCTTACATGCATGGCCCCATCGCTACCCCAAACCCTAAACCATATGAGAAACTCTGGAAATGGTAATTCTGAGATGTTGGCACAGTGTAAAATCCTTACGATCCTCATATTTTTTATATCTTAAAAGTATCTGACCTTTTTGGGGGACAATATCCCTATTTATTATGGAATTCAGAGGGTAGTTGGAGCACAAAGAACCACACAGGAATCAAGCAAACATAAAGCTGTCTATTTGTGGCCATACACATTTATTTCCTGAATAAAACTTTTTGATCAGCAGTCCATCATATGTCTCAATGATAATTTTTAAATTATCAGATCAGTACCTCAGCAAGCTCTCCTTGTTCTGCCATAGCTGTGCTATGCAGTTCATTTCTAAAATACTTTTTTCATAAGAATATAAAGATCTGTGATAAGAAAATAGATGGAAATGAAGCCCAAAATTTCTGACAGCTGAAGATTAAACTGCAAGTGCTGATGATCACTCTGAAAATAAAGTGGTTCAGTGCATGTAAAGTAAGGAAAGGTGTTGATTTGTACTTGATTCATGGCATACGTCACTGCATTATGAATGATCAGTGAGCGTTGTCACCAGAACAGTGTCACACTATTATAGTTACGGGCATCAAAAGTGCAAACAATTGCTTAGCTTTTAATGAAGTACAGAAGCCACATTTTAATAATGTTAAGTTTGTAGTTCAAACTGACAAAATCCACACATACTCCAGGTTAGGGTGATAAAATTCTATGCTTAATCTTTGATATCACTTTCTAAAATAAAGATGTTCTATACCCCACTTCCACCATCCCTCCCCCAGGAGCAGCAGGGAATCTCATCCCAGTCCCTGCTTGACTGGTTGTTTATAGACAAGAGCATAGACATCAGTTAGGTTGACAACTAGTTTTATTTTGTCAAATGTGAAAACAGAATAATATTTGCAAATAAGGGAAAGAAAATAAAAATATGAGTAAATGCTTACACATATTGTGCACCAAAGTGTAGTCTTTGTTTGAATTTGTAAAGAGCACCATAGTTAAAGCAAGCCTTTAATGGAATTGAAGGGTGAAATATTTTGAGCAATTCTAGAAACACACACACACACACACACACACACACACACACACACACACATATATATGTATATGCATAATAGACATATATCAGAACCTTTGTTATTTCTGCACATGTACAAGTACATATTTTCTTTTTATCTTCAAGTCAAAATGAATATTTATCAAGAGTGCATATAATTAATAATCTTTTCCAATTGGACTTAAGAGAAACTGGAAAATTTTTAGATGTAAATAAGTTTAATTGTACAATTTATGTATACACAATGATCATATTCATTATAAAGAATTTGTACCTGCACACAGTATACTTTGATTTGTCTTCTTTTTCTTCGCTTTCCTCTCCCCTCCTTTCAACCCCCTTTCTCCTCTTTATTTGCAATGCTTTGTTTCCATTTTAGCCTTTTTTTCTCAATTTTTCTCTTACCTTCCTTCCTTTTCCTCTCCCCTCTCCCTAGTTCCCATTTCCTTTTGTACAATTTCTTTTCATTTCACTATATCTCTTGTATAATTTGGTTTTTATTTACACTTTCAGTTTCTCACACCAGTGAGGTAACGTGTGGTCTCAACGTCTATCCATTTAGAAGTAAATGCTTCAAGTTTATGCTTCCTTATGGCTGAGTATTACTCCATTATATTAAAAAAATACTTCTTTTTTATCCAATCATTGGTTGATAGTTTCCAAGGTTCAGCTATAGCAAACAGTGCCACTATAAACATGAGTGTACATATATTGCTGTGGGGTGATGTCTTTAAATCTTTGTGGAAGATACCAAGAAGGGAAATAGCTGGTTTAAACTGAACAGCTAGTCCTAGTTTTTGAAGGAACCTGCATGCTGATTTCCACAGTGGTTGCACAGTCTGCATTCTTACCAATGTGGAGAAGGGTTCCTTTGACCCCACAGTCCTAGCATTTGTTATTGTTTGATTTCTTGATGATGACCATTCTTTCTGGGGTAAGATGAATCTGGAGTAAGATTTGCATCTCTCAAATGACTATAGGCAAACATTTTTATGTATTTATTTTCCATTTGTATTTCTTCATCTGAGGAGTGGGTATTCATCTCTGATGCTCAGTTTTAGACTGAGTCTTTGAATTTAGGGGATCTGACTTTTTCCCACTTTTTATGTGCTCTAGAAATTAGTCCTGAGAAGCAACTGGTTAATTTTTTTTTCCCCAGATGGGAAATCATCTGTCCTCCATATCATTCAGTTCTTGAAAAAGTGGTGACAATAACAAATGTGTTTGTTAAGGCAACACAGATTGTTACAGAAACAGATAAACTGTAAGTGAGAGTGTTTAGTATTTGTTGTCTCATTGCAATGACATTACCACTGTCTTAGTTATTTTTCTCTTTTTGCTGAGACAAAATACCCAACACCAAAAATTAAAGAAGAAAAGTTTTATTTAGCTCACAGTGTGTGGAGATTTCAGTCCATATTCAGCTGGCTCCAAGGTAGGATGGCATGTCTGAGGGGCAACATGGTGCTGTGGCAAATACCCAAATCATCAGAGCAAAGAGACAAAAGGCTCAAAAAGGAGAGAGCATGCCTCCTTCACTCCCTTATACTGTCTGCCAGCTACCCTCCCTGTCTTAGCTACTTTTTACTCATTGCTGAGACAAAATACCTGATGACCAAAGTTGGGAAAGGAAAGCTTTATTTCTTACAGTTTTTGGAGTTTTCAGTCCATACTCAGTTGGCTCCAAGGTGATGTTGCATGGCACGGCTACAGTTCATGGCAGCTGCAAACACCAAGCTGAACCAGCAAGAGAGAAAGACACACACCTTCTTCCTGCCATTGCATTGTATCCTGGCTACACCCCTAGATGAGTGTAGCACTGACACCATCAATCCAAGAGCAAGAAAATAAACCAATCACAAATGCACAATGCAAGTTTATGAGGCTTGTGGGCCACAGACATAAACCGTGACACTCCTCTTGATGTGTGCAGCACTCACACCATCAATCCCAATGCTGGTCAATGAACCAATCACAAAAGCTAGATTCAGCCCTCACAATCACATGAGGCTTTGGGGGGACATCTGGACACAAACCATAACAACCACATGGTTAAAATTTCTGGTGAAGTATATACCTTATAAAATCTCCAATAAATGAGACATCAAGTCCTAAGTTAACAATGCCTTCTGTTTGTAAGCACTCAGGCAATCTCTCAGTATGCTGAAACTTATACGTTCTTCAGTCAATGAAGATTGACAATGAGATTATACCTTCATTCCATGGATAGCACTGGTAATACTGGGCACGGCAGCATTGGAATCTGTAAGTAACACATTTTATCCATAGTTTCAACAACTAACACTTCCAACTCTAGGAGATGTGTATAAGTAAAATGCATATGAGTAAAATTTATTTATGGACCTATCTGTGTTTTCTGTTTGTATAATTTCAGGAGATCTATACAAGCCATTTGAGAAAACAGCTACATCGCTTTGTCCTCTGGACTATCTGCTTCCAAGAATAAACTGGGAATGGGAATCTAATAGCTTCAGAGAGGTCAATGATTATGAAACCACAGACTTTCCTGAATAATCTTCTCTTCAAATTTTTATTTCACCTTTAGGAAATTTTGATTCCTTTAAAATATTCAGAGAAATTCACTTTCTAACCAACCTTGGTAGCCTTCTCCTCACTTAAAGACATAGGTTTCATTTTGTTGTTATTGTTGTTACTATTGTTGTTTGTTTGGATTTTTTATTATTATGCAAGGAAGAATTTAGTTTTTGTACCAGTTGTTTCTGAATTTTGAGCTGCTTCTATGCTGGCTCTGGTGCTCAGATTGCCACTGCAGTTAAAAAATACATTCTGAGAGCTCACTGTAATCTCAAAGCTGTGTTTTTAGCAGAAACTCCTGACTTGTCATGGATAATGAACTACTACAAATACTTTTCTACATTTAAAAAATTTCAATACTACAACCTGTGATTTTTTTATGATCAAATAGATGAATTAAGGGGGAAAATCCTTAGGAAAACAATTTATCATATTAAATTTGTTCAATTTTGGTGTTTCCAAAACTTTCCACCATTCTGAAATCTCATTTGTATTAAGAGGCTTAAAAGCTTTCTCTAGGATGTATTTCCAATATCAACGTAAGGCATAATCTGCATAGCCCTTTCCATCTCTTCTCTACTCATAGCCAAAGTTTGAAGTGACTTGGTTCAAGCCAAGGTTCAAACCATGTATGGATACCTCTGAGATTATTAACAAAATAATCTGTTCCTCTTTAAATTGCATATTTCAGGTATTTTTTTAAGGGATTGGAAAGCTAACCAAATGGAAAATTGGTACTAGAGAAGTACAATTTTTGCTGTAACTGTATTTAACCACATTGTTCAGAAGTCTTCAGAACTGGTTTGTAGGAGAAACTCAGAAGGCTTTTGAAATTCTGGTAAGAGAAGATCTAGATTCCTTGGAACAGATTGGTGGGCAATTTTGGTCAGATCTCTGATAGGAATGTGGACAATAAAGGCCAGGTTCATGAGGTTTTAGGTGGGAAGGAAGAATTTATTAAGCATTGACCTGAAGGCCATGTGCATTTCATTCCAGCAAAAAAAAAAAAAAAAAAAGTGAAATTTTACATTTCGGCCCTACCGTAAATATGGTGTGAAGCTGAGTTTAAAGGTGATGAACTAATTAAACAGGTCAATATATATATATATATATATATATATATATATATAGCTTGAAGTCTGTGGCATGAGCACGAGTGACCATATTTAGTCAAATTATAGTGAGAACACACAAAAAAAGCAGAAAGATTTACAAAATATTCTGTTTCCTCAAACATGAAGTACATGTAAAATCAGGACAAAAGGAAGTTTGAATGATGAAGAAATTTACACCATTAAACAGAAACCAAACACTAGACATGTTTGCACATAACTGTAATTCTAATGCTCAGGAGGCTGAGGCAAAAGATTATGAACTCAAGACCAACCAGGACAATTTAGCAAGACCTTATCTCAAAAGTAAAAAACAAAAATAAAAACAAAAGCAATGAAAGAAAAAAAAAGAAAGAAACTAAGCATTTTGTACAAGGACACAAAGAATGATGCTTTGAGAGTCTCTCAGGAATCAATAAGACCTTACTTTTTGAAGGCTAAAGGGTGCAAAAATGTTAACATTTTATTTGAGAAGAGAGCCATGAGCCCATACTTGAGAAGGCCAGTTAGGTTATTGATTCCCTGTGATTCCTTTCACTGTGCTCATTCATGGGCCAGTGCAGCCATCTCCAAGGTGACCTGACTGACTATTGATCAAGCTTGTGACGTATCTTAACACCAAGTCAACGTGACACTGGCATTTTTGGTATGCAGAATGTAAGATTATGGGGTCAATGAGACTTTCACCCAGATTTCAAAGGAAGATCTAGGAGATCAGAAAATGTGCACCAGTTAGAGCTCTCAGTGGAGTTAAATATTGGCTGAGGAAAGCTGCTGGCAGTGAGTGAAGCCAGCCCAAGAGAGATGCCATATGGGTTATAATCACCAAGGCTATAGTGGTGGAGCTGCCTTACTTGTTTGAAATTCACATCTCACCACCACGTGCCATGTGCACTGGATAAGGAGCTGTGTGGTTTAATGTTTATTCTGCTGAACTTCAGTCTTATTTTGAACGATTTCCTTCTAGCTTTGCATTCCTCCCTTTTGAAATGGGAATGATTATGCTGTGCTATTTTATCTTTTTTATCTTGGGATTATCTATCTTGGTTTTTTAATTTTAGACTGGTTTATAGTCAAGAAATACCTTAAGTCTCAGAGGAGAATTTGGGCAAGACTTTTGATGGAACTGTTGCACTTTTGGGGAAGGTGTTAGTACATTTTTTTGTTATATGCAGGATAATTACAATAGGCAGAATGGTACCTTCTGATTTGGTTTAAGGAGATGTGTTTTGGTGTCAAGCTGACAAGGTGTTGAAAGTGATGATTAATCTTGTTTGTCAGCATGATCAGCTTGAGAGATGCTTAGCAGATTGGTAAAGCACACATCTGGGACATCTGGTGGGCCATGGAGTCCTAACCACGGGGACTATACCCAGTCCCTCATCCTTTCTTCTCATGCAATCTGCCCTGATCTTTGCTTCTCAGCTGACATGAGCCGAACAGATTTTTTCCACCCTACCTTTCTGCAGTGATGTTTGTGCCTTGTAACTAGCTGACCGTGGACTGAGACTCCCCACATTCTGAGCCAAATAAACCTCTCCTCCTTTAAACAATAGGTGTCAAGTATTCTGTTCCAAAAATGGGGAAGCTGAACAAGATAGAACCAAACCACTGAGAATTCTGCTTAGAACGATATTAAAATTAGATCATATTCTTTTGCAAATAATGCTATGGAAATGTTGTTTAAGGAGATATAATATTGAAACTTTAGTTGTTTTCTCTTATGTAGATCCACTGGATAGTACCACAGAGGCTTAGTTTTTCATAGTTTGTGAATTGTTTATATGTAATTATTTACAATTAACTTCCTTCAGCCAATCAACAGACCATAAACCAATTTAAGCAGTTATGAACAAAGCGCTGTGATGAGAATTTGCCCTTACATTAATTGTTAATCATTAAAAGCCCAAGCTCAGGGAATTACAGTACCTATATTTGAGTTTCTCATTTATTACTGCATTAATATATTAAAATAAGACTTCTCGATCAGTAATCGCAGAATATTAAATGTTTTAAATCATCCCTATCAGAATTCTCAAGATGGTTCTAACAATGCAGCAAACACTCAAATAGATTGTGGAATTTATTTAACAACTCAGTAAACCTGGGTCCCCAAAAGCAAGGATCATGTGCTTTTGTTTCTTCACCCCCAGTATGGATAACTGCATTCTGTACATATATCTAGTTGAATTCTATAGCTAAAAAATCCTATCAAGGAAATATGATTATTTTGATTAGGTCTACATCTGGTAGACATTGACTAGAAGAAAATTAAATCATGGTAGAGTAGAAAAATATGAACTTTGGAGGCTGAAGCAGAAATTTAACACAATGTGAGAACCCCTGATAAAACAAGGAAAAAATGTTAAAGGCAGCTGATAATGCAAGTCTATTGATCAGTTAAAGTGAGCACTGCAAAAGGTGGAATGTGAAAGCTTCAAGATTCTGAATACCTAAGAGGGAGTTTCAGGATTTTTTTTATAAAAGGCCAGGAAAGTGGAGAGAAATACACCTTGCAGTGTCACTGGAGTGCATAGGATACAAGACAGACAGGAAGTCTAGTAAAAACAGCTGGAGGGGACTTGAGCTCTTTGGAGCTGGTGGTAGAGCGGATAGCACTTAGAAGGTTGGAAATTGAAAGCCATGGAAGCTGATGGATGGAGCCCGTCAGCGGGAAGCTGCACTCAAAACAGCACCAAATGGCACCAACTGTGCATTAAATATAAAGTCTATCAGAAAAAAAAAATGGCCAGGGATGTAGCTTAGCCTGGCAAGTGTGAGTAGTCAGAAAGGGAGTGGGGAGGATGATCTATGACCCCAAGAGGCAAAGATCTGTAGTGACTCAACTGCGAATTCTCTCAGCATAGACCTGGGCACTCCGTAGGAGTGGAACATATTTATGGCACAGTGGTTGATCTTAAAAGCATCTAAGTTACACAGAGTATGGTTCATGACAAGACAGAGCAGCCAGCATTTCCATTTCTTTCCCATTCCTCTGCCTGTGTTGCATCTTTTTCCAAGATCCTTTATATACTCTTAGATCTCAAGCAGTATTAGGAAACTCCAAAAAGTAAAGGACTCACTCCAAGCATACACTTCATAGGAAACAGGCAAGGCAAGATGCAGGTTTGATCTAATTCCCTTTGTGGGGAGCAGCTCTGCCCACAGGGCCATTCAGGGGGTTCCTCATTCTTGATGAATTTATATTTGTTTTCTGTTTTCCATGACCACACTGCCACTACATGCACACACACACACATGTATGTGCACACACATGCATGCACACATTTATCACAAGTGCCCAGTGTTTTACTCTTCTTCATGGGGCCAGCGATGTAGCTCAGTGCTAAAACAGCTGCCTTACAAGTGCCAGGTGTTGAGTTCTTGATATAGATATAGATACAAATACAAATACAGATATAGATATAGATATAGTCTTATTAACTTATTATCTATATTGTCCATTAAATATAAAGTCTATCAGAAAAAAATGGCCAGGGATGTAGCTTAGTCACATAATTACCTGATTGGCAAGCACAAAGTTCTGAGTTCAATTCCCAGTACAAAAAATAAAAAAATAATAATAATAAAATAAAATAAATTAAAATAAATAAATTCTATCAGAGCTAATCTTAAAACATGAATTTCCCTCTTCGGATTTTAAAATCCAAAATCTCAGAGTCATACCTGTCAGGCATTCCGCTCTCAAGATACCCCTTTTGAGAAGTTAAACAAATAATGAACTGGGAGCAGAGAGGGTGTTTGGACACCGTGGTACAAATTCTTGGAGGTGTAGCAGAGTGAGCCCCTTCTCCTAAACCTGTGAATGTGCATAAGAAGCCTAGCTGTTCTGTAGGCACTTGGACAACTCAGCAAAGCACTAACAATGATGAGAGAGTTACGGTTTAATCACAGCCACTTGCAGCTTTCCACGGTCTGGAGCAAAGGCAGTGAAAGGAAACAACAGGAAACCACAGCTCTAAACAAAGCTTTGAAAATCTGCTGTTTCCGCACCTTTATGTAACTTCACAGAAATGGTGTGCTCTCTGAGGAATCTTCTGTGCCATCTATCTGAGGATGCTCCTTACTTTTGTCTTCTGTTGGAAGATTTTCTTCGTCAGATGCTTCCAAGTGTTCCCATTTCATTTTTCCCTTGTGGTATATTAATTATTTTCCCCGTAACACCTTACCCCACAAAAATTAACAAAGCAGTTCTGTCCAGTATTCACTCATCCTAATACTTAATAATGACAGTTAATGCAATGAGCAACAGATGTCATATCTTACTTCATGTAATTTGGGGGGAAATTATCATAAATCTGATCTTTCTTTCTAATCTCTTTATTTTGATGGCATGCATACTCTAGAAGCTTCCTCTGAAAAGTTGTATCAGAGTCAGGTTTTTGACACAGCGATATTTACCTTTATCCATCATCCTTGCCATTGCTTGATATTTTCCTGAAATGTATTTGAGGAAATTTGATATCATGCACAAATTTTGGAATTTTATGTGTGAGCTCAGTGATAACTTGTTAGTTTTTTTATATCACCTTCAAATACCTGACAAATAATAGGCAGACATTAGTGAGGCACTGAGCAGTGGGGCCTCACCGTGAGCCGATTCCAAGTTCACTAGGGACTCAGCAAAATGACCGGGCTCATCATGTGTTTTAAAGATGAAAAAATGTGTTTGATTGGAAAATTGTAAATAAAATCCAAATATCAGAGACTGTAGTGCAGAAATAGATAAAAACCCTTGTGTTTAATCAAGTACAAAAGGAAAAACAGGGAATTTTATAGATTATATCTGAATTATCCCATCTAATTCTAATGTTGTCATCCATCCTTTAAGTGAATTGATATTGATTCTACTTTAATGGTATTGTCAATACTGCAGGCAGTTCGAGCTCCATAGGAAGCTAAAAGCCACCCTGTAGTTACAGTGTATTAAATGCATGAGCCAATAATTCCGAGGCTGAAATAATGCACCAATCCATAATGCAAATTGCTTTTAATCCAGTCATTGATAATTAAAGGATAACCCAATACTCACCTTCTAAGAAGGCTGTTTCAATAATGACCAATTGTCTTTTCTCCATAATAAAGTCGCCACCCAAGCAGCCATATCATGCTCTAAGTCCAGTGAAAAATGAGCCTGTCTAAGGCCCATGATACCAGTGCCAATGAGGCCACCCCAGAACCCTGAGTCCTTCAAGAGTCCTGTGGCCTCCCGGTTACACTGACCTAAGGAAAACTCCACACAGCAGCAAGGAGTGACAACATCGCTATGGTCACAAAGAATTCCAGTGAACACCTTAGTCACACACCGAGAGCAGAGTATTCCTTATCCATTCCATCAAATTTGCTTTTGTGTCTCTAATTTATGCCCACTGCATTCTATGCATTCTACCCGCCCATCTACTTATATCAAAGTTGAGCTATAAAGGAAACTATGAGTAGATGCCCTACTGCTAGCTAAGCCTTGACGAACAAAATGGAAATTTCTTTGACTGGTGTGCAGAAATCCCCACTATGAGAGGCTTTGACTTCAGATCCCGTGGCCCGATCCAATGATCTCCACTTTTCCAGTTCTCCATGTGCTTCTGTCTGCTCAGGCTGCCCTAGCAGTCCTCACAGCCCCTCAGACAGGGTCTGAGAGCCGGACACCCAGGGGTCCTAATCCCTCATCCGAACTGCATTTCTCCAGCAATGAGAGCTACTGGTCAAACAGCACAGCAGCCTCATCCATACCTAGGTGCTGTGGGCTGACCCTCATGGAACTTTCCAGTGCTTGTTCTTAGCTGTGTCATAGGTCACCCTGTCTGCCCTCTTCCCAGAATCCTTATGTGTTTTTGGACCTTTGTATGGAAATTAGTGCCACCAAGCACGTGTCTTAGAAGTCTGTAACCATCCTTCCTCTCTCTGATGAAATTCCAGAGTTATCTTCTGTGACTTCCTGTGCGCATTCTCATAACACTGACTTCAGGCAGTCGTTCTTGTACTGCGTGCAATTTAACCATCAGAGAGAGTTTCAGCACCATGCAAACTTCTGTGCCTGACTCCAGTTTGAGAAAGCGAGAAATGAGTTTTTACACCAACCTCCTTCCAGTTTTCTTTGTTCCACAAGAAGCATTTCGCCTTCTTTTAGGAAGAATAAAGACACCCTGACTTTTCTATGCCTAATTACTACTGAGCTGTTTGTTTTATTTATTTGATTTTTTATTCTTTCAAAGAAGCTTTAGTAATTTCTTGTTGTAGGCTACTTAAATACCAGCATGGAAGCTAGCTGCAGTGTTATAGCTATGCCCAGAGAGGTTCCATTTCAAAGTGTTTTACAATGGAGAAGCCTTAAATTCAGAACTGAAATGTTACAGTGAGCAAGAAAAGAATGTAACGGATTTTAGCACACCTGTAATTACATCATCAGCCTAAATACACAGATGCAATACAGAGGCATTTATTTAAAATTCTTAGTCAGGCAAATACTAAATTCTTTATCTTACTAAAAATGGTAGTAAGTCCCTCAGTGCAGGTACTTTGAAATGCTTTTGTATAATTCACAGATAGTGACACTGAATTACTGTCATGTTGTTGGCCTTCAAGATGTTGGCAACATAGTCAGGGGAGACATAAACTTTCTGCAATCATCAGAGTGGATGAGAGTGATCACTTTCACACTTACAACTTTCACACTTACAATCTGTGCCATGAAAACAAGGCCTCATGCCCCAGGTCTCATGAGTGAGGAGCCCGAGGGAAGGAGATTCACAGACAGCGCATAGCTTTGCACGGACAGGACTTGGTTGAGTTCACAGCCACAGCCCTCGGGATGCTGACTTCTGACCTCGGGCTCCTTCTGCTTCCTTCCACTGTAATCCTTGCCTCATCTTCCCTTTTCAAATTTTGGAAGAAACACATCATTAGAAAGTTAAAATTTTAATGCATTCTTTCAGGTCTATACCACATGGCATTTAAATTTCCTGTCCACTATTCATTTTTATTGCAACATTTTTAGAAGCTGATGCGAGCATAACCGAAAGTAGAAACACTGGCTGTAAGTGTAGGTATTAAAAGGTCACACTAGGAAGCACTTGCTAACCCAACACTGAGGGGCACAGGAACAGGTGCTCGTCTGTGTCCTTTGTTTTCTTCTGTGATATAGACAATCTTACTGTGAGTAATTCCAAACCACCAAAGGTGTTCACCACTGACTGCGCCTTTCCTGTGGGCTTAGGAGGGAACACGCAGCCAGCCCTCGCGAGGTAATATTAACTGTTACCTGCTGTCACTGATATTTTCTGCTAACAGAACATTTTATTTAAATTAGCCACACATTCGGCTGGCATCCATCTTTTTATTTTCCTCTGGAAATAGCATTCAGGAATAAAGTCCATAGAATTAACTGTGTCCATGTAAAGTGGACATTTTTTTTTCCTTTTTGATCACTGTAGAGGTTCACAAAGCCATAGCCTATGTAAGGACACCTCATCTCCAGTGTTCTCCATTTCCATCCATTCCTGACACTCCCTGATCTATCAGATTGGCTTTACATTTTACAAGAATTTACACCGGTGGAATCAGACAGTGACCCACTGTGTAAGTAACCTCACCCAGAATCGCGCTTTCACAAATCTTCTCTGCTTTGTGTCCTATTGGCAGTCCCTGCCCTCCTGTCCTGCAGTGTGGGAACACCACCGTGTGCCTTTCCACACACACCAGGCACAGTAGGGCTGTGCGATTCAACTACTAGAAACAGAGTTTCTATGAAGGAGACACGCACAGAACAGCACTGATGCAAGGGTAAACGCAATTAACCAGGCGAAACCAGTGTCTAAGTAGTTTTGGACTTGACACAGGGACACTAACATGTAAAAGTCTTGTAGGTGACAGTCATGGTTACGTCTATGGGAACAGAATGCTAAGCTTCTTTTTCCACAGTTCC